CCTCGACTTGGCTCCTTGGAGTCCAGCCAAGGGGAACAAGGGAGCTCCGTAAATCACCGAAAAATTGCCCTTGTTTACTTTTTTATTTTTTCTCCTTGGTTTACTTGCATGCGATCGCATCGACTGAATCCCGGCTGAGGCTGGAGTTGGCCTTGCAGCCCCTTGGCCAGCAGTGGGCGCTTATCTCTTTGCGAGGCGTTTGGGACGAGCTGAGCGACTCACTCCCATTAGAATCACTCGGGATTGGAAGATTTCAGCGAACAAACAGTTGGGTTACTTTGTTTTGGCCAATCCACTCGATCGGGAGTGAGCAGATGGTTTGTGAAGTTTGGGTGTTTGCAGCTCCACTGTTTGGAGTTTAAGCCGGCTTCCAGGGTGCCTTCTATGTTTCCCAGAGGCTCCAATTCGATGGATTTAGGGCCTTCAAGCAACCTGGTTTTGAGACCGGGTCCCAACCACCTCCAAATTGTCCAATGCAGGGGCCGGGTCTTCCATTGAAAGCCGAAGCCAGGAGCCTTTGGGTCATTTCTGATGGGTAAGCTTCAAACCTTAACTTCTCGGAAGCTAAGGCCTCGCGGTGAGGCAACTCGCGGATGGGAACCCCAGATCTAAGTGGAGCCCTGGTTGAAGTCCACTTTTAGTGTTGGGTTTCGTGTTGTTTGTTTTGTTTTGTTTTTGCTTTTCTTCCCCCAAACGAACCCCCCTAATCAGGATGGCCTCGATATTGCGGGGTTAGGGTTCATGCGGCACGGCCTTGCCAAAGCTTCAAAATGATGGCTCACCGTTGAGGGGGGAAGGGCTTACCCATAGAATTAACCTGTTTCTTTGGCGTGCGGGTTGCAGCTGGGATCAAAGGGGTTCCCAGCCATAGCATTAGGCTGTCGGAGTCTTTGAGTTTAGAAGGGTTAATGACATATGCCACAAGAAAGAAGGGTCATTTTTTAGCAAGAAATGAACGAAGCCTCTCAGTTAGTTGGGGGTCGGTGTTTGGATGGTCCGCAGATTTTTATATATTTTTGGAGCATGGGATGAACGAAGTCCGTGTTGAATGTTTAAGCCCACCAGCCACGCACAGAACCATGCTAGACACAGCTTGCCCAAAGCCGTCCTTTTGACCTTTCAGTTTCCCCTTTTGGGTCCATTTTTGGTCAGGGCCCCAAAAAGCTTGGGTCCATTTTTGGTTAGGGCCCCAAAAAGCAAAACCTAATATTTCTGAGTTAATAAACCCACAAAATCGGAGGGGACTGTGATCTGCTCCAACAGTGATGAATCTCGATTGAAAGGGGACCAACCCAGAGGGTCCAAGTACCTGATATCTGCTGATTTGAGGACTCTCTGATTCACGAATCCCCTTGAACACCCGAAGCCAGAACTATGGCCAACTTGGGGTTTTCAGGGTAGCCCCCGTTGTCTTTTTTTTGTTTCTTCTTTTTTTAATGCGGTGAGCTGCCGGTCTCGGAGTCTCGGATCCGGTTTCCCCTTGCGTCCCTTAGGCTGCTGGTGTTGCCGGAGCCCTACGCGTCCCAACTGCCGGGGCCCATGTCCGTGGCCTTGCTGCGGCAGACGGCCCTGGTGAAAGAGGAGCTCCGGTCGGTCTGGGGTGGGGCGGCGAAGGCGACTGGAGGGTTGGCCTGAAGAGCTCAGGGCTCCGCTTTTTGACTATTTCACTTCCAGTGGGTTAATATGTTTTTTGTTCCTCTGTTGGTTTTAAAGGAAATCTATCACTACTGGATGTTTTGTGCAGGGGACTTAAGCAAATGGAGGTTCAAGATAGACTTAAACCCAGGGGTCGTCAAAAAGTGGAACCCTGGAAGCAAGATAGACTTAAACTGCCTAAAGCCCAAGCCTACGATACCAACAAGCCATGCGAAATCCCTTGGCTTCAAAGTGGTGTGAAGTGGATTTCGGCCATCCACAGTAGTTTGCTTTGCAGGCATGGAAACCGCTTCCACTTAAATTTTCGTCGCTTCCAAGCCCCAAAGGCGGGTCCAGTTTAAGAAAACCCCATTTCCTTTGTTCAGCGACTCAAGCGGATCCGACGTCAAGGTCCCAAAGGGTTAACCTTGTCTTGGGTCTCGGGGTCTGCAACAAGAAAACCGCGGGTCCGCTTTCGTCATTTTTTTTTTTTATGTTTATTTAAATTTGCCCCTGCTAGTTTGGAAGGGAACCTGTGACTATATATGCATTTTTGTCCAAGAGACTTCAGCAAATGAAAGTTCTTAGCCCGTTTTGGGCTAAGGTTGCTCTATCTTGTGTGCTTCAACCTGCTGTTGTGTTCTGATGCTGTCGTGTTCTCTCCAGCATTTAGCTTGTCTTAGTGGTGCCATGTCCTCTCTTCTTCTTTTTTGTTGTGATTGTTTATTTCCCTCTCGGTTGTGGGTTGTTTTGTATGTTTTGGTCATTTGTTTTTTGTAGTTCTCTCTTTTTCATTGTTTTTGTTTGTTTGGGTGTGTGTGTGTGTGTTTTGTGTGTGTGTGTGTTTTTGGGATGTCTTGCGTGTTTTGTTTTTTGTTTTTTGTTTTTTTCCCCTTGGGTTTGCTTCCAACCTGATCAGCTCAGGAAACGCAGGCGGCGGCCCTGGAGCACGGCGACCGTCTGCAGGTCTTGGGACCGGAGGACGCGGCTGTCGCGGCTCTCGCGGATGGGCCGGCCAGTTGGGCGTCACGTATCTCCTACCTTGGCGATTCCCCAGCCATCCGGTTCCTGAGCTTTTTAGATCCTTTTAGCATCTTTTGGCCTGAGGTTTTGATTAAGCCACTAAAGGTGAGTCACTTTTAGCGGGGGATCTGAGAGTTTGGACACAAACTGGGCGTTCTGTTTGATAACCACAAAAACAAGTCCAAGCATGCTGTTCAGCGCAAGAATGGCGGTAGAAGGTGAAGTTGCCCAGAGGGCCTGGGCAAGAAAGCAACCGCATCAAGGACGTGAGAGCTCACTGCCGATCGAGTGGAGGGGCCTCAGAAGGTTAAAAGTCCGTAACAGTCCGTACGAGACAAAGCAGAACCAAAACCCTAGTGGTGTCGTGTTAATAAGATCTGTTCGTTCTGGTTGATGGCAAGCACATGGATTTTCCGCCAGGGGTTTTCAAGAGTTGACCATCCAGCAAAGGACTGGTGGGCTCGATTCTGGGCTTTTCAGAGTTTGATTTGGCGCAAAAGGGGGGAAGCCCTTTTAAACTCACTTCCTGAGTTCATGAACTTTAAACTTTTTGGGAAGACCATTTTAGTGGTAAATAAAAAAGTTCAAACTTTTTTTGGCCAACCCACTCGGGAAGTGAGTAAATGTTGGTTTGGAAAGAAACCCAAAGGGAACAAGGTTGCGCCATTTTGGGTGTCCCCTAAAAGACACGCCGAAATGGAGCTGTCGGTGCTCACTGGATTTTACTCAATTCAGCCTCAGCCACTTTCTATATAGAGCAAAGCACGTGAGTTTTGGTGATTGGTTTTGGAGCGTCGCCCCAAACCACCAAAACTCGCCCACAACTCACGCAGCAACATCCCTAAAGCAACCCTAAAGGCACCGTCTTTCCAGCAGCACACCCAACACAGATCAGCTCCAAGCCAACCCCAAATCCACCCAAGTCAACCCTAAACCGCCCAGGATGTCAACTCTAAATCAACCCCACACCACCACCCTACTGAAGGTCTAAGCCAGCCTAAACCCCCCTGAACTGAAACCTGCAATCAGAGCCAATAGGCAACCCCCAGGCCAAGTGAGGCCGGTGAAGCTGGGGATGTTGCCAGCTCTGCGGAAAACCAGCCCTAGGAAACAAAGGCAACCAACCCTAGGAAAGAATGCACATCTACCCGCTATGGTTGACAGTTCAGCTTCTCAAGCCCAAAACTGACACGACTGGAAAAAAGGGGGAGAGACGGGGAAAAAAACGTCAGGAGCACGATCTGTTCGAGCCGGGCTCTTGTGACGCAAGATCCCCAGGATGGCCTGAACGGATCCTCTGGAAAGCCCAGCGGGTCCGAAGCACCCCATATTCTTTGGGGTTGGTTCGTTCGGGGATTCGTTTCATGAAAACTTCTTGGTATTCTTTGGGGAGACTGCTTGGGTTTGGGTATTTACTTCTTTGGGGTTGGTACCCTGGGACCCTTTGGGACATGTATCCTTTAAGAGACCCTGATGAAAATGGTTTGGCTTCGGCCACCATAGTGACCATTTGGCGGCCTATGTTGTATGGGGATGTGTTTGTGACGGTGCCCCCTTTTGGTTGAGTTAAACGGGAAACCAAAAGGACAACCACCCATTTTTGGGCGGGGTGGGTCCCAAAAGCTGACACACCCATATCAAGCTTTACAATGCGTTTGAAATTGTGTGGTTGCATGCTTTCTGGGCAAGTTACTGCTTTCTGCTTCGCTGCCTGTCACAGGGCTGTGGTTCTGTTTGTTGTTATCTTACTTCTGTGATTCCCAGAGCCGTCCTTGGTGGTGGTCTTTCAAGAGGATTCCCTACTGGGCCAAAAGCCTCACGTCGATCCTGACTCCATGTGTTACTTGCCTTCATCAAGCAGGCAACGGCGTCTTTTGTTGTGTTGCAGAGCTTAAACGTGACGGATAGTGAGAGTGTGATAACTGGACGGGAATACGGACACCAAGTAAGTGTTGTTTTTTTGTTTTTGTTTTTCTTGGGGGGGGCATTGACTCGTTTGTCCGCTTGAAGGTGAGATCAATTCTCGAGCACTCGGTGAGGAGTACTATGTTGAGTTCCAAAAAACGAACGGCGATCCGGAGCTCAGTTGCAACCACAGCGAATCGACCGGGTCAATCGATCTTTGGGTTGTTCAGTTTGGGTTCACAAAAAATGTTGCGGTCTCTTCAAAAGGTGATCACCTTTTGGTTCCAGGTCCACACTGGGCAAGGCCATGCTTTTCTTCCAGACCTGTTCTCAATGCTTGATGCTTGACTGCTTGCTGTGTTGCTGATACTCTCATGGAGCGGATTCCGGGGCAACAAACTTGAATTAGATGCTGCCATTGAGTTTTGGAGGTACTTCCACTTGGAATCGAAACCCACCACCAAAAAAAAACAAAACAAACAAAACAAACGTTTGCTTTGACTTTTTCTAGGGGTACCATCCCCATTCTTTCCAGGGATCCTTCTTTCTAGAAAACCTCCGGGGTTTCCGAGGGAAAACGGATCCGGTTTGTGGAAAGAACAATGGTTGAACAGAATGGAACACTTTGGTGCATTTTGCCAAGGGCTGTTAGTCGACTGAACAACTTTTTGATCCAACTCATGGGTTTTCCGTACCAAACCACTCAAAGTCAGTCACTTTTCTTACCTCTTAAAAACACAACTTTCCAACTTTTTGGGTAACATGGGCTATATGTCTGTAAAAGATGAGAACTTCCCCAGGGCTTGGAGTTTTAAATCAACTTTTAGACTTTCTGGAGGGCACCCAGCGCGAGGAAACGCCATGTCTCTTCTGCCCCCTTCAGGCCGTGATCCTGGCGGCGCAGCTCGGAATGAGCCGTCTTAAAGAAAGAGACCTGTCACTCACTCCCCGGGCTGGTGTCACTTTTTTGGGCTTGAACCATTTTAGTCGTAAATAAACAGTTCAGACTTTTCTCGTGCAATCCGCTCAGGAATGAGGGTTAGCTGGGGGTTTTCTCAAAATCATTGACCCACCTTGGGCTGCGCAGAGGGTCTCTTGGTGCCTCATATTTTTCGCGGATTCGGGGAATCTGTTGACGAATCCGAAGGAACCAAACCCAAGGCCGTAAATACTGTGGATGGACGAAATCCATTTCGCACCACTTGGAAACCATGGGAAACCATTTTTTGTTGGTATTCACAGGGGAGTCATCATTCTAGGGTTTCTTGTGTGGTGCAGGATTTCGTCCATCCACAGTATGGGGTACTGGGACCCTCTGGGTTAAGCTGGCTTTTACTGGCAAAGCTCTGGCGATGGGCGATTGAACTCAGACAAGAAAAGCTCCGAGGCATGCTTGGCTTCTTGGCTGTGTGGCTAGACTTGGTCACGACAAAGAATGGACTTTAACTTGTTGGTTGAACAGGTTGGATTTTCCCCACGAAACTGTTTGCGGAGGGGTCTTGACACCAACCAAAAAACAAGGATCAGACTTGTCAGCTGGTGCTCTGAACATATTTTAGGGAGCCCAAAAGGCAAACCAGTGTTGGAGTAGGTACTTGGCTTCCCGTTGTTGCTTTTGTGGTTTTGAAGGGGAGCCAAAGGGAACATCGAAACCTATTTTGGTCCGAGTCCTAAAATATTGGCCACCCAGAAAAATGGCTACAGACGATCAAAGGCTGAAATGTAAACGCCCATATATGAACCCCCCTTTGGGGTCGAAAATGGCCATGGGTTCATATGCCAGGGCAAGTCTGCGTGGATTGGCCTTCTGCACCCAGCCTGGGTCTTTTTGTTGCCCCTTGCGTGCGCGAAGCACGGAATGTGAGCAAGGGATGTTTACACCCATGTCTTGTGTGGAGATTGGTCCTTACAAAACCTCCGAGAAATGGAATTTACGCACCAAAATCCCATACCCAGAGGCTCCTGGGGCTTTTAATGGAAGACCCGATCCCTCCAAAACCCGGTCTCAAAACCTGGCGGTTTGTGCTTTACGTGGAACGCTTCTTGCTTGCTATTGGGTTGGATCTTTAGACTTTAACTTTTTGGGGAAATAAGGGGGTTTTCCACTAAACCCCCCAAAAAAAGGTTAACCTTTTTGCAGGGGGGGTCACTTAAGATGGTTCGGCAAGCCCTAGGTTTGCCGCGCGGCCAGTGGTGGACCTTAGCCACTCGGCAACCAGAGCTGTTTGCCGCGCGCGGCTCTTTCGGGAGAGGGAAGGAGTAGACGCTGCTGGGGGCCTTCCCAATTCCTGTTGCTTTCCCGCAAAGAAAGGGGGGCTAGTCCAATGCGTCTCAGAGTGTCGAAGCCGTAGATTCTCAGTTGCCCAAAGCATTCGACCAGATCTGACCCTTTTTGTTTTCCTATTCGAGTCCATAGTCAAGATCCGAAAAGGTTACCCTCCCTCCACTAACATGGCATCTGACAGGGGGTCCCTCCAAGATCTTCCAGGTACCCTCCCACAGGTGCCATGTCAGTTAGAGGAAGGGTACCCTTGCATTTCCAGGTCATACCAATTTCCCCCATTTCCCTTTTTCTAAAGTTCCTAGACAAGTTGTAGTTTCAATGGACACTACCAGGCAGCAATTTGCGATATGTGTCAAAGGGGAAATCCAGTGACCCCCGTTGCTTTTTCCAGGTGTAAACTGCGCATCGGTGAGGCCCCCGCGTCCAGATCGCTTGCCCGAGGCCCGGTGGCGTCCTTGGTGCACGGAGGGCCACTGCCGCACCGCGTGATCAACGACGAGGCGCGATGCGTCGCTCGGGTGGCATCTTAGGCTTTCGCTCGTGAGAAAAAGGTGCTTTCCCCGCTCAACTGGAGAAAGCTTGGGCAGGGAGTAATAGCCGTATGGGTATGGCTCATCAAAAGAGGGGGTTTCCAGGGGGTGATAGCCATCAAGTATGGGTACGCCTCATCAAAATATGGTTTTACGCATTCTTTGGCTTGTGACCAAGCCAAAAATGGCAATTTGTTCGAGGGTCCGGAAGGTAAAACCATCTCGGGGGGGTTGTCGGTGTTGATTTGACGGGCTTCCTTGCTTTCCTCTTTCGGACACCAAATGTGATGCGGGGGTGGGATCTTTGTTTGGGTTTTGGATGATTTCCGCAAGTGTTTTGATGTGTGGGTGTGGTTATTTTTCAGGTTGGACCCAACAAATGGTTTTCCTTTTGTTCCCTTTAACACACCTCAAAAAAGGACACCCGTATCTATGTACTTTGGGAGGGAGGTCACTCAGTGAGTGGTCAGCAACCCCTGCTGTAGCTCTTTTTATGGGTTATAGCCAGGGTTGCACACCTCATATCATGAAACTTTGCGAGGGGGAAAGGCAAGGAAAGGGAAGGAAAGGGAAGGGTCGCAGGCTCTACCCAAACCTATATCCATGCCGCTCTGAAGACACATATTTTGTTCGGCCGAGTCGCAACATGACTGTTTGCCCCCGACCAAGCGGAACCCATGTTAGGTGAAGCATATGTTTGTTTCATGTAATAACATGGATTTGGGCAAAGCGAATCAGGCAGGTGCTGCGGGAGCCTCCTAAAATATTGCTCTCGTCGGGGAAGAAGGAAACCTCCCTAATTTACCGCAACTTGCCATGGATTTGTGGTTGAGTGAGGTTGGTTTGTTTTGCAACATGGGATCCGATCGGGGCATCCACCGTGGCAGGTGGAGGAAGGCGTTTTCCTCTTGGGGCACTTCGGTGCTTCTTGCGGCCCAGGAGCGCCTTCAGGGGTGCAAATGTACCATAGCCCTTGTTCATATTTTCTTGGCTTCCCTGGTTTCCAACCCACGTTAGGGGTAATGTGCGGGAGAGGGGTATGAACATCAGGCCTTTTGGGTACCTACAGGCCGATCTGTGTGTCAGGGGTCAAACAAAAACAGCCGCCTGAGTCGGGCCTCGGCCTACAAGTGAGTGAACCACGCATCAAGTACCATTATAGCTCCCGACTCCACTCCATGCCTATGGCATGTCGCGGCAGAGGAAAATATTAATTCGAGAATACCATGGAGGAAAAAAATCCACAAAGTCTATGCAGAGTAGTAGAAACAAGAATAGCGTCACACTTTTCACATGGTGGCAATGTAGTGCTGTTCGCATAAAAAAGTCAAAAATGCCAGACAACAACACAAAACCAACTTGTTGCTGCCAGCTGTAACGCGGGCGAGAGCAGCCCAGTGCGCGTGGAGCGGTGCTACTCTGTTGGGTGGCAGAATTTCCACGCCAGCCCAAGCAAAGAAAGCCATCACGAAGGGGTGCAACACCTTATAACTACCTGAATGCAGCTAGGAGGGAGGCCTCAAACCCAGGACCATGGCCCCAGCTTATTTGACATTCACCGTAGCAAATGTTACCAGACTGAAAAAGTACCACGAAGAAGTTCTTAACTTGATCCCCGACACCGAGCTCAGGTTTTTTTTTGCCTAGCTGAGACCTCAGCCGATGAAAACGCCCTGAGACAATTCAAAAAACGATGCTCTCCAAAAAAGCTTGACCTTCTCACATGGCAGTGCATGTGGCCACAGAGGAAGATGCATCGCTAAAGAAGGACCAACCTATGGGGGTGTCGCTGTCCTCCATAACGTGAGGGGTCGCTTCCCCCAAAATCAAACCGAAAGTGATGTGTGGAGATCCACTCGATATGTTGAAAATATAGTACAAATTGGACCCATCCAAATCCTGGTGGTGTGTCTATATCTCTTCCCTGCGGGTGAGCCTGAAGAAAAACAAGTCCGATCGGACATAAGTCAGAGCCTGATGTGGCAAGCAGCAGTCCAGGAATGGGGGGGCATTTGTTGGTGGGTGCAGATTTTAACCACCCTGGCCGGTGCTGCGGGGGAGGCCCCAAAAGCCTGCGTTGTGACAAAATTTCGCCTTTTGGTGTTTGAGTCCAAGAAACAGGTGAGGGGTTGAAAGCCGGCTCCAAGGCAAAGGCAAAGGTTCACATGGCTGTGGGTCAAAACCAATGGTTCCATTTTGGGGGAGGTGCACCCATTTTAGAACCTATTTTAGTTGGGATTGGGATGTTCGCTGGGGGTAAAGGCTTTTTGCCCGTGGCCACATCCCCCCCTTCCAAGCTGAAGTCACCTCCGCAGCTGGCTCATGCGGTTTGCCGAATTTCCGGCGGCACGCCGGGCGCCTTGGCTGCTAGATGACTGTCGCGGCGACTGCGCGGGAACATGGCATCAAACTGTGACATGGTGCTGCATACGTACCTAGAGTCTCCATGACCCCTAGAAAAGTGGCTCAACACCTCTTAATTTGGTCATGACCCCAAGTTTAACGGGTCATGGAGACTCCAGGTAGGAACCACAGATATCAGGTTGTTTTTCCTGAGGCCCCACCACCTTTGAGGCAGTGACACAAGTTGCACTTCGAACTTAGAGAAAACCTCAAACTTGCAGTGGTCCCGGACTTCGTGGCTTCCAGCAGCGTTTGAGTGGTCAACAGACACTCAGCCACATGTCAGACACTCAGCCAAAGTGAAGCAAACACAAACAAATACATCTTATAACTGGTTCAACTCTAATCATGAATTGAGCTTCTCAAAAAAAAACAAAAAAACGATGGATCCACTATAGCGAGCTGGGATCTTTGACACTTGCCCTGATTTCAATCACTTCTTGCCAACTCGAAATGAGTCTTCTCAGTTGCCCAGGGCCGACCTTTTGATCTTTTGGCTTCCCCCTTTTTGGATTCTTCCGTCATGGCCCCCAAAAGCTGATCACCTCCTATTTATGGGTCTTTGAGGATCTCCTCCAATTGGTACTCCCCTGGATCAACCGGTGGGTTCCTTGGCCCAGACAGTCCCATTACCCCAGAGTTGGCGGCTTTGGGTTTGGCTCCTTCGGCGATTCGCCAGTTTCTGATCCGCGGGTTGTATGAGGTACCAAGCGAACCTCTGGGTTTCATAAGACAACTTGGTCTTGATATAAAACCCCTACTTAAAACAGCAGCTGAGAGGACGTCCCCTTAAGACACTGGTAGCCTCTAGGTGCTATTTTGGGGTTCCCTGACTTCTGGCTTGGGAGTGGCCCTCGGCCGGACTTCTTTGGCTTGGCCCATGGAAGCTTCTCTGCACCTGCCAAATCGCCCGCCTTAGGGCCATGCCTAGTGAGGAGGCGGAGGCCGCACTCAAAATGAAGGCGGCGCCTTGCAGGAATTGGCAATCGTTCTCTTTCCGGGACGGCAACCTGGAAAATGCGACAGGGTTTTGGAGATGTCCCCTTGGTGGTTTTAAACATACTGCTTCCAGTTGTTTAAGACTATTGTTTCTTTTTCTGTTGGTTTTAAAGGGAATCTATCACTACTGGAAATATGTTTATTTTTCTAGGGGGCTTAAGCACATGGAAGACTGTGGATGCCCTGTCATATTGCAAGTAAGGAAGGGACATGAAACCGATTCTCTAATTCTCTGTGATCTGTCATGGTTTGGTTTGAATATGATTGAATACGGTGGGCGAAGAAACCCTGGTTTCTGCTCATTCTCCGGTTGGTGCCGCTTCCATGGTGTCCATTTGGTGCAGGGTTTTGTCCACCCCCAGTGGGTGTGCTCTTTTTTGAGGGTACCCCTTTGTTTAGCGGTTTCAAAGGAGCCACAAGGAAAATCACATTTTGGGACACCCAATTTTTCCCTTCCGATTTTAACTTCTGCTTGTCTCAGGGAGTTTCTGAACTTTAAGCTGTTGGGTCAATCTTATTGGTAAACACAAGTTTGAACTGCTTTGGGCCCATTCACGCAGGAAGTGAGCAGTGGCTTTAAACATCCAAGGAGAGGTAAAGGGAGCCCTGTGCGCTGAAATGGCCTCAACCCCACGAGAAACCGCGAGCTCCAGTGTATTGCGATTCAACGAGTCCCCTGATGGAACCATAATTTAAGGAGCGAAATGTGGCAAAACGTGCTCCTTTTGGGGCATGGTGTAAATGGTTTAAATACATTCTGTCCAACCCTGCTCCAGTGTCTTGTCCCAGTTGTTCTGGCACCCTTTCCCCCTTGTTGTTGGGAGGGTTCCCCATTAAACATGGTCTTCCCACAACTGGTGGTTGGAGGGTTGTTGGAGGGCCGTTCCGTAGCTGCATCCAGATTTGCTTGTGTAGGTGGCACAGTAGTGCCCTTCTACCCTTTTATGGGGGGAGGGTTCCACTACTCACTACTAAAATAGACGACAGAAAAAAAGGTGTCCTCTGTTACTCTAACCTCTCTACTGGAGGACCTAGTTGTACTGAGGGAGCCTTTCGGAGCTACCCGCAACAGTAGAGACAAACCCCAATGAGAGTTCCGAGCGGCAGCGGTTCAACTGGACCTTCGGGATGGCGCAGCGAGAGACACCGCTAAGGAGGGACAACTCGCTTTTGAGCTTCTGGACTTTAAACGTGTTGGGTTTCTTGGTGGCTCCCGGCCATGCGGTTCCTTGGCTTTTTAGCCATTTAATATTTGGTGGTGGTTTCCATTTAACTCGCTAAAAGTTAAACCTTTAGCAGGGGATCTGAGGGCAGGCTAGGTTTGGACCGTTTGAGTGGCAAACAAGTAGTCGATAGACTTTTTTGAGTTTAAGCACAACTCTTTTACTCCCGCCGCTTCTGTAGGGGCCAAGCAATTGCTTTGATTTTTTTTTCTGCGAATCCACTCAGAGACTCAGGAAGTGAAACTGAATGAGGGAATGAAGTTCTTTGGCCCCCTAAAGCAGGAAACCACCAGTTGGATTGTTTTTCTCGGTCATTTGGCTGTGGGTCAAAACCAATGGCACCATTTTGGGGTAGGTGCACCACCCAATTTAGTCTATTTTAGTGGTTGGCTTGGGATGTTCACTGGGGGTACAGGATTTTGACCCATGGCCATTGTCCCATCCAACCACCAAGCAGAGGGCGCTGACGTTCAGCACCGGTCGCGCCCAGATCCGCGTCGTCTCACATGGACCTGCGCACGTGCTGCCGGCGCAAGGCGCGCTTGGGTTTTGACGCAGTGCCGAGCTTGGGCCAACTACGTCTACCATATTGCAAGTAGGGGAACAAGAGAGCTCCATGTTTTTTGTTTTATCGAAATTTGCCGTCATGTCCCCTGGTTTTCTGGGTGGGTGCTTGGTTTCTTCCATTTGCTTAAGAATACTTGCGATTTTCTCTATCTATCACTACTGGAAATATTGTTTTTATATTTTTTTCCAGGGGGCTTAAGCAAATGGAAGGTTTACTTGCAACTTGCTGCGGGCATCCACCGTAAAGCCAGTTCACGATGCTTGGACCTCACCGAAGGTTCGGTCTTTTCCGGGTCCGCAACTTCAGGTTGGGCGGAGCGCCGTGCGCGGATTCCACTTGCCGCACTTGGTTTCACCCATGCCATGGGATTTTGGTGTGAAGTTAGCTGACTCGCATGGCTTAGAGAGCATAAGGGGATAAAAGGGGTCTCCCACACCTCCAACCTGCCAATCACCAAGAAGAGGGTTCAGTTCTTCGGTGGCAACCTTTCCCTGTTGGCTTGGGCATTTCCACGTGAAGCATGGGCTCCACAAACAAGAATGTTGCCATGGCCATTGCGCAACTGAGAGAGGGAAGCTGGTCAGAAGGCAGGCTCACTCGGAAGGTAACCCAAAAGCCCAAACCTCTCTCGGCAGATTGTGTTGTCATCTGTTTTTTCCTGGCTGATTGGCTGTGTTTAGTTGGTTGGTTTCATGTTGCCATATTTTGTTTGGCTTTTAAATTGGCTTGTTGTTTTGGCGTGCTTG